GAAGCCTGGATGTTATACCCAGAGAGACCATATAGGATTCAACTCATTTGTTTAATATTTCTTGAGATTTATTGGAAAATTCAAAAACAATGAGTGGCAACCATTTTTATGACAGGCGTCCCCAAAAAAAGCACCTTATGCTTACTTTTGAATACCATGGAGGATCTGTGGTCCTGTGGGCCTGTTTCATCTACAAAAGCTCTGGAAACTTGTTTGTGTGAAGGATGTCATAAACTCTGATGATATAAAATAAAACTTTACGACTGCTCCCAATAATGACACTTTGGTCATCACTTGTTTTCTTTCTTTCTTTTTTTTTTTTGCTTGATTGATTAAAAGGACATAAAATAAAAGGTTTATGGCTCTGGCTGCTATGATCTGCTTGTGTTTCTGTGTGTTTTTTAGTTTTCATTCTATATGTTTCTTCCCCAAATTTAGTATTTATTTAGTCTTATCATCTTGTTTATTACATCCTAATGTGTTTTTCTTCCCTGTTTCTCACTGTCTGTCCTGTTAATTTTTGGTCCCCTCACCATAAAGCTCCCCGTTTAATCTGCTTAACCCATTCCCCTTTGTCAGCTCATTAGTCTATTTTCTGCACCTGTTTGCTGCTCTTTATAAGACCTCTGTCTACCTTTGTTTCTCACTCAGTCCTTGTTTTTGCCTCCTGCTTCCATGTCTGTTTTGCACTAATTTGTTTTTGTAAGTTCTTTATTTTCTTCTCAGTAAAACCTTTCAATGTACCATGGTGCCCCCAAACATTCTGCATCAGAAGATCGTTCTGTTCCTCTTTCTGTGGCTTGATCCAAATACCTCCAATTGTAGCTCCTTTCTCCCATTCCTGACTCCTATCCCTTTGCTTTTCATGTGGTCAACAATTAGAACACGATTCAGAGTAGAAAAGGAGTTTGAAAATGCTGTGTTGAACCCAGACAGCCTTATAAATGTCATTTTGCAGCTGACATCGGTCAAAATGGGACCACAGAACTCCAAAAAAAAAAAAAAAATACAAGTTGCAAACAGCTGAAGCTCTCCATTGTAAAACACAAAACGGAGGTAGGTGTGTAAATTTTGGTGTTTCACACACAATAGAGTGAGACAATAAGGTTGGATGTGCCTGCACCTTATTTTATGCAAAGGCTAAAGCTCCTAGCGGCCCCTAAGGATATCAGGAGGTCTCTATGCTAAATTAATGGCCTTTAGAAGACATAATACTCATAATGCTCCTTTCTAGTTGCAAGTACTATTCAGGTAGCTCTTATCATGATGACCACTTTCGCCATAGGCTAAGTGTCCTTACCAATTTCAGGTATTTGACTGGAAGGTGGACAACTTATACTGATGTAGCATCTGTTCCCTGATTTTATTCATTTTTCTGCTTGGAAATACTGTTACCAAAAACGGCTTCACCATCCCCAACTCAAATGTGTATTATTGTGATGTAACAAATCCTGAAAATGAGCTGGTCTTCTGTTTGGGCTTTCTCTTTCTAAACCTGATTCTTTTTTTTTTTTCTAATTAATTAGGAAGTTCTGACTGAGCTGCAATAGCCGTGTGCACCTCTAAATTCAAATCCAGTACCTCTAAATCCAGTACCAGGCAGAGTCCTGTCATCTGCAAAGATACTTGGATGACTCTGCAATCATTGGGCGCATCAAAGATGGCCAAGAAGCTGAGTACAGAGAGCTTGTGAACCGTGGCTGTTGAGCCATGGTGCACGAATTGTAATAGTCAAGACTAGAGCTGATAACGGCATGAATCATATCAAGGTCAGGGTAGTTAAAAAAAAAGTTGGAGTCCCATTGTACACCTGCCCCAAAAAACCCACTGTCATTTAGACCAAGCAGACAGCATCTGTGAGGATCCTGTTCTTTGATCTCTCCAGTGCATTTGACATGATGCAGCCTCATTTGATCTGTCAAAAACTTGAAAAGATTCAGGTGGAGGCATCAACAACAGCCTTGATTAAAGGACACCGTTTTTAAATCTGACGGATAAACTTTCGAATTAAGTACGTAGTCAACAGCTCAGGAGCACCAAAGGGGACAATACTCACACCATTCCTTTTTAGTCTGTACACCTCTGACTTAAAGTTCAAGATAGAGTCCCGCATTCTTCAGAAATACTCAGATGACTCTGCAATCATTGGGTGCATCAAAGATGGAAGAGAAGCTGAGTACAGAGAGCTGGTGAACTGCTTTGTGGCATTGTGTGGAAACTATCATCTGATCCTGAATGTCAACAAAACAAGGGAGATGATTGTAGATTTCAGAAGAAATGGGAACAAGCTGAATCGTGGGAGAAGAAGTTGAGGTGTTGGAGGAGTATAAACACCTTGGCGTTCATTTGGACAACACACTAGAACGGAGACACAACTATGAAGTCGCCTAGAGGAAGGGACGGAGCAGATTGTACTTCCTAAGGAAACTTAGAGTCTTCAGCATTTGCAGCAAGATGCTACATATCTGCTATAAGTCTGTGGTGGAGTGAACTCTTCTTTCATCCTCTGCTGGGGTAACAGCATTGGAGCTAATGACTTAAAAAAGCTCAACAAAATACTTAAGAAGGATAGTTCTGTTATAGGAACTCTAGTACATCTGGAGATTATTTCAACAAGAAGAATTCTTCATAAAGTGAAGAAAATTATGGACAACAGTGAACATTATTTTCTAGAAGATCTTTAAACAAAAACAGAGTGTCTTTAGAAAGAGGTTTCTCCAGATCCAGGTCAAGATGGACCAGTACAGAAGATTCCTGCCTACAGTTATCAACAGCTACAAGGCCTGTTTAAAAAAGATAGTTACCGCAACATTTAATTAATTTAACTGAATTTTCGAGTAATCTATATGTACATGTCTTTGGTTTTCATCATCAAACTTTGGAGGAAATGAATTGCAGGAATGACGGTAAGGCAGCTTGTGATTCCCATCTGGGAACAGTTTAATATTTTAGGACTTTCCCACTCTGCTGCCATGAGAGTGCCAGAATTTTATGTAGCGTAGGTGGGTAGGGGACTTTGTGGATGTTTGTAAATCATTCTTAGTGAATCTGAAAGTTTGGTCAGTCATGAACTCTTTTTCTTTGATTACTGGTTAAAACTTGAGGGATCAAAGGTCTGAGGAATACAGGAAATGAGCCTAGGAGGAAATTGATCTATTTTAACTTGCTCCTCAGTCCTTTATAACACTATTTTTTTTCCCCGAGCAATATCAAAATCCCAATATCTTAGTAGAAAGTTGCTCTGTGTGTTCTCTATCACCAGAGGTCCTCTCATTACCATTCAGTCAGTAGCATTTACCTGTAACTGGGACATCTTGCAAATACCTCACTATTCAGTGAATAAACTTGCAGTTTTCCTGTTCTTCCTCTCTTATTTATGCAGATGAATGAAATTATTTTAGACCCTGCTGAGGGCTCCAAAAATGTAATTTTCCAAACACAGCATGCAGAATGTTCTGGTGTTTTTGTTCAGCTAAACTAGAATTGTCCCCCTTAAAGTCTTCTGTCTGGAAACATTACCATAATCAGAAAACACAAACTTTGAAGGAATTCAAGCTGTTAGCATTTGTTGTTAAACCCACTGAGAATTTGAAAGCAAGTCCAGATGCTTTAATTGTTTGGAGAAATTATTATTATTATAGGTTGCCACCCAGAACAGAAAGTGGGACAGATTGGGAGGTTATTTGCTCCAAATGCCGATCAGGGATTGGTCTGACTGTACAGTCTGATGCAGAACATACCTTATGCATAAGACTTTATCCGTTTTTTTAGTGGAACATGATAGGTTTGCATGAATCACAGCAGGTTCTGTGCTTAGTTACAGCTCCCAAACCATTGTTGAGCAGGTGCTGCCATGCAGAGTAGTCATTGTCTTCAACATCAGTCAGTCTCCATCAGTATGTGCAGAATTTAAAGTTTACGCAAAGAACAATACCCAGTGCAAAACTAAGCAACGTAGGAATAATAATAAATAATAATAATGTATTATTTTTTAAGAAAGAACTAAAAAATAGTGATGTGAAGAAATAAAGGTGCTGAACATGTGTTTGATGACAGGATTGACAAATTTACGTTATCCCTAAATCAGATGCACTGCAGGATTGATGTAGTCTAATACAAAGCGATGCAAAAGTCTGATTTCTCGCATTGCCGCAAGCACTGTTTCGGCGATTCCAGTGGCACGAGCGATGTGACACCTTTGCTGGATGCAAAGCAATAGTTGCTGGAGTTGGAAAATCCAATTTTTTGTGTTTTGTTGAGTTGTGACAACCAGACAGGGACTAGATGTGGTTGTTACATGCTTCTTTCAATCAAAATGGAAGCTAGAAAAAAAATAAGGCTGACAGAGGATGAACTAAAGGAGATCCTCTTAGGAGGTTTGTGGGTGGCCTTTAAAAAAGCTGTTTAAATTTTGCAGTGAAAATATTTATTAAAGCAGCAAATTGTTATTTTCACCTGAAGAAAACATCTTCTAACTCCCTGTTATAGTAATCCAAGTGTTTATAAGATGATTGAAATATCTCAATTCTCTCTCTAAAGGCTCAGGTCGGAAAACCACACTTACTACTTTCTTTGTTCCAACCCTGTTAGTGGTATTTCTTCTCATTCTTGCAGTAAACAATTTCAAGTCAGCCCAATATAAAGCTATAGGCTTCAGTAACCACTGGTGATTATAAATTCAATTTCAAGTGCCTTGAGTTGACGTGCGTTTCATTGGTGTTTAGATGTCGCTGATGATATATTCAAAACTTTGCAAAAATGAAGATTACACACTTATAACCTCAATTTTTTTTAATTACAGTTGAGGTGGTTTGAAAAATTAAGGGTTTGTAGTTCTTTGTTTTCACAGTCTGAAGTTTTAATAACAAAAGTATGTAAAAGCATTTTTTCAGTGGTCTCTTAGTTTTCTATGTTAAATATCAAATTTTACATTTCAAAATAATTCAGGAAAGGATTACTGTTAAATTGAACTAAACAGAATTGTCTCTTGTTCCTCACAGGATGGAATGGGCAACCTGAGAATAACAGAAAAGGGCCTAAAACTAGAGGGAGACTCCGAGTTCCTCCAACCCCTCTATGCCAAAGAAATCCGGTCCAGTCCAGTAAGTAACTCACACTTTTAGATAAAAAGAGAGATTGCACTGTCAGCTGAAATAATGATGTTTTTGTTGTTCAGTCTTTATTAAGTTGATATTAATTCAGTACAACCCAAAGAAAAAGCTGCATTAAAGAAATACTAAGATGACAACAGTCATCAGGTGCGTCAGAGATGGAAAAGAAGCTGAGTACAGAGAGCTGGTGAACCGCTTTGTGGCATGGTGTGGAAACAATCATCTGATTCTGAATGTCAAAAAAACAAGCAAGATTATTGTAGATTTTAGAAGAAACGGGATCAAGATGCATCCTTTTAACATCATAAATACCTTTATTTTCACCTGGACAGAAAACTGGGCAATGCAACTGTATAACCGTCTATAAGAAGGGACAGAGCAGACTGTATTTCTAAATGAAGCATAGGTCTTTTAGGATTTTCTGCAAGATGCTGCATGTCTGTTCTGAAGATAGTATGATGAATAAAAAAAGGTAACCAGGAAATAAGGAGGTATGGCACTTTGATAGACCTCTGCCCTTATTTTCCTTCTTTTTCATGTTTGCTTCTTCAGCTCTTAGACCTTTAGCAAGAGCTAAACTAAAGCATTGTGTGTCAGTGTGAGTAACTGTTGCTGCTAGACTGAAGAACTGACTAAACATCACAATGCCATGTCAAACACAGGTCCATTATACTTTGAATATATTACCTAACAATTATTGAACACCAAACAGCCCATTATAAAATATAAACTTTTTGGTGTTCATAGCTCCCAGTGCAGGTATCAATAAATGTGTAAAGTGTGGTGTTTCTTTGTAATAAGACACTTCTCCTCCAACTCTCATTGTTCCAGGAGAGTGCATCCTGCTATGAAAACCAGTGGGAGGAATGTGTGATTATTTCACGATGGATACAAACAATATTAAATATGCCCTTTAATGATTTTAATATCAAGCGAGTGAATTAAAGGATTCTTATTCAATAGCATGTGGTTTGGTTTATAATAACATATTGATGTTTTCCTTGATAACTGATGGGCAAATTCATATTTCTTTTAATAAAAAGATAAGACCCAGAATGTTCCTGCATCCTCAGACTCAGTTCAATCCAAGCCGGCTATTTAGCAATCCAACCATCTGAGGTCAAGGCACAGCATTTCCTGTTGAATATCACCTCCTGGCATTGTCTGATCAATGCAACACTGTCCTCAGGTGCTCCAACCTCTACGGGTGTGCATAGAGATGTTTTATTTGTGGTTGTAGGGTCTTTCTTTCAGTTTTCCTTCCTGCTGAACAGCTACAAGAGGAGCATGCGATACCTCAGATGTCACAGATAAGGAAGAGATCAGGGGCAGATAAAGAGAGAGGCACAATGTCCTTCTGTCTCTTCTGTAATAATCTCTGTTCGGGTAGTGGATGAACGGATTGATAATGCAGGAGAGGCACGGTTTATCTCTGTTGTCTAGGAGCTAACGTGAGCTGAGAGAGAGAATAAATGATGGAGACAGAAGAGCAGAAGGGGAATGGGGTGGAGTAAAGAAACAATGGAGAAGAAGAAGTGGTGATAGAGACAGAAGCAAGGAGACAGATGGTGGACGACTGAATTAGAAAGAGAGAGATGAGGAGCGGGGAACTCTTATAAGACAGAGCAACTAAATCATTCACAACATCTTTGCAGCAAAATTGAAATTAAGTCCAGAGTTCTCCAGGAAGCAGATATAGATAACATGGATAATCTCCCTCATGCACAATTTGGCACCCTGTTCTGGTGAATTGATTTGACTCAGGCCAACATGTGAGCATATCTATCAACATGTGATAAATACAGAGCATTAGCTGGCAGGTACATTAAAGATGGCTGGAAACGGCTTTAGTCCCCTCATAAAATATACATATTTATTGCTGCCAGAAGAGTATTGGAAGTGGAGATGATGTCTGCTCCTATTAAAGTGAGAAGGGAGATGAATATAAAATCAGACTAAGAATAGAAAAATGAAAAGGGGTGAAGGAAGTCAAAGCAGCTGAGGCAAGTGAAGTTATATGGCATTATCCAACTGAAGCATGTTGCAAAAGGTAAGAAAGGTCAAGAAAAGGCTGCGTGGAATAAGAATCAAAACCAGACATTTTAAAAAAAATTTTATTTTATTTTGGTAATTAATTGGATTTTGATACAAGAAACCATCATCAATGCTCTCATTAATAGTGGTAAAACTCCCTCAGCATTTTCAATAAATTTGATCATATTGAAAGTTCATTAAGCAGACTCAGGTGCATAGGGATAAGGTTAAATGTAAAGACTTTTTGTATTCTTTATTTTGCTTTGAGGATGATAGGTTCAAATTTAGTTTGCTAAATTTGAAAAAGACTGTCATCTGAAAAAACTCATTATTATTTAATATTTATATAAAACCCTCTCCTCCGTTTCCCTGCTTCCATCACGGAGCTGTCGTTCTGGGCTTTATTTGTCTTTAGCAAAGAGGGAAGGATCAGGAACGTCCACAAACAAAAATACAATTATTTGTCACCTGGAGTGGATATATTAAAAATATCTGCATGCATGAAACTTATAAATGAGATTCAGCACAAAAAAAGTAAGCCAGCAATGTTCCCAGTGTGTATTCTTCTCTTAGAGATGGAAAATGTTCAAATAAAAGTCACAGAAATAAAGAGTGCTCTCCTTCTCCTTGAGATGAGCACAGCCGCAGGTAATGAGAGCTAACGAATGAGCAATGAGCTGTCAGCGCCATAAGGTACGCACACTTAAGTTAGGAACTTAGAAAAGTATAGTAAACCTTTTTTATATAGGACCACACAGAAAATATTGGAAGGGTTACAATTTAAAGTTTTCATCCTCACAGTCTGTCTGCATTAAATCTCCAAACTCTGGAATTTCTTTGCTATGAGGGAAAACTCATAAATTAGAATTTTACATTATTCATTATCTCACGCCCCACTCAAAGGCACTGACAAAAATGGGAGACAGACGAGCAGAGCCATAGAAAGAATTATTTATTTTATCCGAAATATGATATAGTAGAACTGCCCAGCCAGTCAGAGAGAAGTGTGGACCAATGCTGCTTGTCATTTCCCGATCCGTCCCGGAAGCACGATCCGTTCTGCACAAGCGCCATCAGCTCATGTGCGCATCCAGATATACATCCGGGTCGTCCTCGATTTTATTTTGTTAAAAATACCTAAATGACGTTTTTCATTCCCAAAAATAGTAAACATACTAAAATATAATGTGTTAAAGGTTGATAATGTATTTCCTGAGAAAATGAATGCCTTAACATCCTTTATGTTTTATAACTCTTCTCTGCCTGGAAATGGGATCTTCTAGCGGCTAACTTTTTCAGCTTTGGATTTAAATGTGAATCTAGTCTTTTAGAGTTTAATGTTTTCGTTTCGTTTTAACCTTATGTTATATAGAGCGTAATCTAAAGAAAGAAACAACTAAAATGCAGATAAACTAGCCTGGGTGCCATTCCGAACTTAGTCCAGACCACAACGTTTGAGATCTGACTAGAATTGAGTGGGACTACGTCAAGCTACAGATAAACATGGTTTAGTCATATTTTGCGGGACTGCTCTGAGCTTGTCTGATGATGATGTCAGAGTAGCAGTTTAACAAAGAAAATGTAAAAAGCATAAAAATTGTTTCACAAAAGACATAAAACATTTTTTTAAAGATGTGTATTAGCATTCTTTAGTGAGTTAAGGATAGAAATAAGTAGGTTAAGTACCATAGTTACATTATTTATGGACACCCGGATGTATATCTATTTTTGCGCAGGATGGATCGTGCTTCCTGGACGGATCGGGTAGTGACACTGCTTGTTCCGGTCTTGTCTGGAGGCCAAATAAAGCAGGGATGTCAGTATTTATCAGACACCAAGTGCTTTCAATTCACAGCCCATCTACCTGCATCCTGAAAAAGAACAGAACACACAAATAGAAATTAGACACCTATTGGATAGTAGGGTATCGTCACAATTATGAAAATAAAAATCGGATTGATTTAAACTTCATACTAGATGAACCTTGAAATTATCTTTAAGAACCATAAACCAGGTACATGATTTTAATTGAGTGTACAATTTCTGTAATTCAAACATGTTGAATTTAATTAGAAATTTCTTAATTAATTTATTTTATGTATAATTATTTAAATGTAACTAAATCTGGTTGTTCTGCCTCAATATGTGACCACATCTCTTGACAGAATATACTTCATTTACTATGTTCATTTTTGACAAAATCTCTGCTCTTATACAAAGTCAGCAAGTATTCAGTAGAATTTCTGTGTACTAGATATGCTCTGAATTACTGTCATTTTAGTTTACATAACCTAACAAAGGCAATAAAGATATTGCATTCTTCTTTATTAGAAAAAAGATTTGTTTTCTGAAAATATTCCAAAATGTATGTTTTTTCTTAGTTTCTGCATGTTATGGGTCTCCCGTTTTGGGCTTCTTTTTGAGTTTTTAATTATTTATGTCATCTTTTTAGTTGGTCATTGGTTTCTTTTAACATTTGTGTCATTTTCGTTGTTTTTTTTAGTTATATTTAATTATTGTTTTGTTTTATGTGTTGCTCTTTGTTGCCCCATTGTGACAGTCTTGTTCCCTTAGCTCCCTTCTAGTTACTTCTATCCACACCTGCTCCCAATTAGCTGATTAGCCCGTTCTTTGTTCTGTCCCCCACATATACACCTCCTGTGCTCTTCCTCAATGTTGATTTCTTGTTGTTACTTGGCTCCTGATGTGTTTGTTTTTCCCTGACTTCTCATAGTTTTTTTTTTTGTTTTGTTTTGTTTTGTTTTTTTGGTTTCATGTATTTTGTACTTGGATTTTGTTTCTTTTGCCCTTTTTTGATTAAATCAGCAAAAATTTTATCTTTGCATTTGGGTCCTAAACCAACCTCCTTCCACCCTTGACAGAATCAAGTTTGGGACATTAGTATCCTGGCAAAATAATGCCAGAGCTTAAAGTTATGTTACCATATTCATTCCAAA